CAAGTTATGATATATAGGACTATTTTGATAGCTTCGGTTGATTTGGGGACATGCAGTAAGTTAATTTTTTGTACAGTACATTAGACTTGTTACTCTTCCTGGACGATTGTGATACAATAGTTCTGTTAAAAGACAAATTATATTCTATTGTTTGTATTCAATCAAATCCTATGTGTATGATTCTTTATCGAGTATCTTCGGGTTGTCGAGTTCGTAAAGCTTCATAATCAATACTTGTTTAAATTTAAACAGTAACGCGTATGGTTATTAATGATCGATCTATAACACTTTTTAGGGATGAATCATACTTCTGAGTGTTTAAATAACACCAGAATTCGATCGGGCATCCAAAAAGCAACCAGAAAGCATACCTAACATGCCATATGTCAGAAAACACCGAAATTTTGGTACGCAACTGAGCTTATTTGAGCTTAATTGGTCAATTAAGCCTTAACCGTTCAATTTATGAATAAACTGACTGTTGGAATCGACTATCCGCCCCAAAATACGCCTATTAACATGTATAACATGACTATAAAGTGTTCAGGTAAGATTTACACAATTTTCTCATAATCGCGAAAATCGGAAAAAGGGCGTGGCCCGTAAAAAAGTTTCCGACCAACGAAAATTGTGTAACTTTTTGGGGGGGTTTATATGAACCAATACCAACACATTAGTGAAGAATACAGCTTGTTTCACTCGATTTCCCGGTAGAGTGCATTTTATGACTGGACTAATGTCATCAATCTCAGCAAGGGCGTATTACATCACGCTCTTGATCTCATGCATTGATCTAGACAGTCTACTCCAGACTCCATATAACGAATTCACACGAGAAAGCATTGAATGAATTCGAATGACCCGAAGAGCGAGGTCAGAAGCTCCAGGGAGGCCAGTCCTCGCCGTCCCCCCCCCCCACACCCCCACACCTACCCCGACTGCCCCTCCTCCCGCCTCGCGTTGGGCACTTATACCCACCCCCCAGTATTTGGCGCATTTTGTTCCCCCCCTACCCCTACACGACCGACCCCTTCCTCGGCCCCGAGCGACGCCCACCACCCACCCCCTTCTCCTTCTCCAACCGTCGTAACCCCTCCTACACCTGGCCGCAATACTACAGGGAGATTGAGTACTGGCACCGCACAATCCCCCACATGTTACTCTTCTGGAGCGAAGATCTCGACCAGTACGTGACCCGGCACCGGCCCGACCCTTAGGACCATCCAACACCAGGCAGACGCACACGGCCCCACTAACACGAAGAAGCCCCACGGAGAAGCCCAACGGAGAAGCCCCGAAGATCAACCAACGGAGCCACGGAGAGACACGAACGGACGACGGATTATTTAAGGAATAGTTAAGATAGTTAAGATTTTTGGTAGTAAGTATTTAAAAAAACAAAAACAAACAAACAAACAAACCAAATACAAAAGGGATAAAATCACTAAAACGTAGAACATTAACCTTTAAGTTCTTTGCTATAAGATAATAGCTCGGAACTTTTCATAGGGAGGAGACTAATGTAATGAAGCTAATGTTATTATGGAAAGAAGTTAATAAGATTAAGAGAAGTAATTAAGAATGTAAACCGCGGACTAGCCCAAGGACTAGTATGCAGAGCAAGCGAAAGTGGTCATAGAACAATTAGGCTTAGTCGTGCCTCGGCGTGCAGGCATGTGGAACAGTCAGCTTGACCACTATTGACCACTATTGATCCGCTACGGTCAACAGGCGTGTCGAGGACTCTACGTACGTCACATAGGAGGCTAATTACCTTTAGAATTAGAATATAAACCGTGGGTTTGGATAGAAACTTTAGTTCACATCACGGACACATCTGGTATGTATGCATAAGGTTGTTCTCTAGTATTCGTGCTTTACTGTATTGCTGTGCCTCTCTCTCTTTAAACTACCTTGAGTCATAGTACCTTTTGTGATAAACTGCTTTGGTACCATACACGTAAACTCTGTTGCTATTTTACGATAAACACGTGTGCATCCCATGTACCTTATGTTCAACATATTGAGAGACGTAGCACAAGCTACGGACTGTATTCTGTGTGACTAACTAGCCAGCTAGCCACGCTGTGAGGCGTGCACGGTTGCTGTGTTACTAACTCGACGACCCCTGTATAATTGACTGTAGTTTGGTGATAAGGCAATATATATATATATATATATATATATATATATATATAATATATTATATA